GAGACAGGGGGGAGGAATGAATCGGCCTGCGGGGAGTGGGACTGACCCGGCCATATGTAGATCTTAGGACGCTGTTCCCCCTGTTCCCACCTCCCCCCCCGCAAAGCAGGAGTTAGTCCGGCCCGGGGATTCTATTGTCCCCCCACACACACCCCTCGAGTAGTAGCGAACGGTCTGGCTGACAGACACACTCATGCAGCCTGAGCACATTTACCAGCCAGGCAGTTCGAAACTACAAACTGATACAACTAATAATAATACAACTCACCTAATGAGAAAATACCAGACGTGTTCTATGGTATTTTCTCAGTTTGTTTTTTACGTGTTTAGTTTTGGGCTGCAAAAAGCAGTATTGGAAAAAAAAGGTTCCAACTAAAGTGAAAAGTTTGGGAAACCCTGGTCTAACCAGCTTTGTCTGTCTTACAGCCCATTTATCCAATCCAGATTCCTTAACTCGCTGGCAAGAATATTGTCGGTGACCAAGTCAAAAGCTTTGCTAAAGCTGGCACTGGGGGTTTGGGGAGGACCAGAAACAACTTATTTGAATATTCATCATTTGATTAATGAATATGCAAATGAACATTACCAGTCCTCCAAAAGTTCGTGAATGGATTTACTGGTCCCCGTGTCAAAAAGTTTGGGAACCCCTGCTTTAGGGTAAACGACGAGCTTTCTGGGTTTTTGAAAAACAGTTTAAAGCCCCCAACCGTTGACAGACCATCAGCCCCTCGTGCGCTCTTGGGACGCACCTCAGCAAGCACCTCGTACCAAGGCATACGTTCCGGGTCGCATGCCCAGCCGGCTCTGCTCAGAACCAGAAGGGGTGCGGTGCGGTGCGCTGGCGGCATTGGGTGCACACAGCCCAGGGCTGGAGCAGAAGGTGCTGCAGCTGAGGACTGAAAGGCACACGCAGGGATCTTATCCCTCAGGTTTCACAGCTTACGCCTACCTTTGGCCACTGGGGGTCAGGAAGAAATCTGTTCCTGGGGCAGGTAACCCTGTCGCTGCCACACACAGGAGTTTGCACCTGCCTAGAAAGCGGGCACCAGCCATGGTCAGCAACAGGATAGTGGCCCAGGTGGGCTACTGGTTCGAGCCACTCTGGCAGTTCCTAGGCTCTGGGTGTGCAATGCAGCTGGGCGGGTGTCCAGGAGGGCAACGGCTCAGGGTGCCCAGAGAAGGAGGGACCGGCCTAGCCCCTACATCAGCGGTTCCCAAACGTTCGCTCGGCATGACCCCACCGTAGTGACCTGTTAAATCCTCGGTCCCCAGACAGCAGGACGATGCCATTTTCAAGAGCAAAATGGCATCCGCCACGCAGCATGACCTCAGCCACTTCGGCCACGCGAGGTCGAACTGTGAGGAGTAACACGGCACTAGGGATCACTGCCACCCCACCAGCTGCTGGCATCGCTCCTTCTGGGGGGGCGACCCAGAGTTGGGGAACCTACCGCATACCCACTGTGCCTGGCTCGTCAGTATTATCGACTTTTGCCTCTCAAGGGCATTAGGGCAACTCCACCAACAGCATCGTCACCCAACCCTTCCGAAGTGGGCACATCGCCACAGAACAGCAGCGCCGTACCTGAGCCGATCACAAAACATATCCATGATCTCCAGCAGGGACTGGACACAGAGATCTCGGGAGAAGTCATCGAACTACAACACAGGAACACAAGGGGTTGTTACAAACGGACACAATAAATACAGACTTCAGGTATTAAAACAAAACCTTACATGACAGGATGCGTCCCTCTCTAGGATAGAATCATAGAATACTAGGACTGGAAGGGACCTTGAGAGGTCGAGTCCAGCCCCCTGCCCTCATGGCAGGATCAAATACTGTCTAGACCATCCCTGATAGACATTTATCTAACCTACTCTTAAATATCTCCAGAAAGGGGGGTTCCACAACCCCCCTAGGCAATTTATTCCAGTGTTTGACCACCCTGACAGTTAGGAATTTTTTCCTAATGTCCAACCTAAACCTCCCTTGCTGCAGTTTAAGCCCATTGCTTCTTGTTCTATCTTCAGAGGCCAAGATGAACAAGTCTTCTCCCTCCTCCTCATGACACCCTTTTAGATACCTGAAAACTGCTATCATATCCCACCTCAGTCTTCTCTTTTCTAAACTAAACAAACCCAATTCTTTCAGCCTTCCTTCATAGCTCATGTTCTCTAGACCTTTCATCATTCTTGTTGCTCTTCTCTGGACCCTCTCCAATTTCTCCACATCCTTCTTGAAATGCAATGCCCAGAACTGGACACAATACTCCAACTGAGGCCTAACTAGCGCCGCATAGAGCGGAAGAATGACTTCTCGTGTTTTGCTCACAACACACCTGTTAATGCATCCCAGAATCATGTTTGCTTTTTGTGCAACAGCATCACACCGCTGACTCATATTCAGATAGGACACGGCTCCCCAGCCAAGCACGGTTATAGGCAGCTAGGTCAACAGCTCTGCAGAAACGAAGGCTGCATTGGCAGGAACGTTGTAGGCAAGACACAAGAAGTAATCTTGCCATTTGGCTCAGCAACTAGGGAGACCGTTCTGGGCACCACACTTCAAGAAAGATGTGGACAAATTGGAGGCGGTCCAGAGGAGAGCGACCAAAAATGATGAAAGGTCTAGAAAACATGACCTATGACGAAATATTGAAAAAAACGGGTTTGTTTAGTCTGGAGAAGCAATGACTGATGGGGGTGGAAATGGTAATAGTTTTCAAGTACATAAAAGGCTGCTATAAAGAGGCGGGTGATAAATTGTTCTTCTTATCCATTGAGGACAGGACAAGACGTACCAGGCTTAAATTACAGCCAGGGAGGTTTAGGTTGGACATTAGGAAAAACTTCCTGTCAGGGTGCTAAGCACAGGAATAAATTGCCTCGGGAGACTGTGGGATAGTTGTCCATGGAGACTTTTCCGTTACACAAACACGCATCAAGGATGGACGAGATAATACTTCGTCCTGCCTCAGCAGAGGGGCCGGGGCTAGATGAGTCACTGAGATCTTTAGTCCCATATTTCTGTGATTCTAGGTCAATGCATCTCAGCTAGTGGTCATGACCTGCTGGGAAAGGCTCATGAAAGGCTCTCAGGGGTCGGAAGTTGGATTACATCCTAAAGCAAAGAAAATCTCGCTCTCCTACTGCCCCCACGCTCTTACTTCTCAAGCGATCTGGGTTCACACGATCACCACAGACCTTTTCCTCCTTTATTTCTATCATAAACGTAAGGAAGTGTGAAAAATATCGGGCTGAGAACGAGAGCTCCCCACTTCAAAGGCCGAGGAACTCACTCATGCTGGCAGTCACTAGCAATCATTCATATGAACCACTCTGTACCCACAGCACACTTGTCTGGGGGCGCATTTCCCCGACGCTAAACGACAACGTCTCCTTTGGCAGATTTTCTGCATCATTCATTGCCCAGAAAGAACGGCCATGAGGGATCAGACCAGGGGTCCATCCAGCCCACAACCCTGTCTTCCGACAGTGGCCAATGCCAGGGGCTTTAGAGGGAACACAAAGAACAGGGAACTATTGAGTAATCTACCCCTTTTAATCCGCTCCCACCTTCCAGAAGTCAGAGCACCCCCTATCATCCGCTCCCACCTTCCAGAAGTCAGAGGTTGCATCCCTGGCCACCCTAGCTGGTAGCTATCGATGGACCTCCCCTCCACTAAGAATTGTTGGGTTCTGAGCACTCCCTAAACTCATCTCTTGGGACATTTAATGCCTGTTACACAGGCTAAGATGTTCACACTGCTTCAGCCAAAGAGAAAAAGGCCTCCGTTCCCAGCTACGACTCTGCATTCATTGCCTGCGTTGTTGGCATTAAGTATGAGCCCCCGGATTTCCCCATCATGGCTGGGATTGTTGGCTGCGGTGAAATGGATGTGTCAGCCGGGGGCCTGTTAACTAGATGCCTAGCGAGGAACGGCGCACAGTTTCCCAAAGGAAAAGCAGAGGGATCGCTTTCCATTGATGGGGAACACTCTGTTCCACCGAGCAGGGACACGGAAGCGTCATCTCTCTGGTTTGTGCCACCTCATCGCTGCTGACTCAGCAAAGGATGTCATTTTTCCGCTTGACCTATATCTGGCAGGAGTGAGTGGGACCGAAATAGATACACCGATTGTCGGTAAAAATGAAAGACAGCGTCCAGCAGGGTCTACCTTACTGATGGCCGTCAGGACCGTGGAGTAAGACACCATCTAGGAACAAAGGAGAAAAAAGAAACAGAGCAAGAAAGTTACTAGGTAACATTTGAAAATGCAATTTGGGTTGCCAAGGAACAATGAGGTCATTTTACGGCTGTGCTACTTGTCTCTTAAAAAGGGGCTCAGGCACTGACCCAGCACAAATGTAAACAGACGTTTTCGGGCGAGCGCTGATTTGCTTCACACAAAGTTCACATGAAACAACAATTTTAAACAACAAGCCAAGGAAAGCAGGAGCGTCTAGCAGCTGAGGACTTGTCTAACAGACAAGGGATCCCTACGGCCCCCGGTAGGCGATGAGGACTAGTCTAATGGACAAGGGATCCCTACGGCCCCCGGTAGGCGCAGGTCACCAGCAGAAGTTTGATCGCTTCGGCACGTACTGACCCAAGGGATATTCTGCCTGGCGGAGGGGAAACGCGCGATCGAGTGGTCAGAGTACAAGGGATGTTAAATGTAGATTAATTCACTAATCGAATAGTCGATGGGATTAGGGTGCCTCTGCCTTTGAACTGTGGCAAGAGCCCTGCCGGCGCCTGCACATTTGAAATGTACAAGAGTCCCAGTGGAGTCCCCCACTGGCCCAGCCCTCCCTGACTGCTTCTGCTTTTGAAATGTACAAGAATTCCACTGGGGCTCGTGTACATTTCAAAAGCAGAATGGCAGAAGCAGCAGCGCAAGTGGAGACTGCTTCAGTCCTAGCTCGCATTGTTTCCTGCCCTGTCTCTACCTCCCCTGACCCCATGGAGACGGTGATGGGGGGAACCAGCTTTTAAGCTGGCTCCGCCTCCCTCCATTGCTGCCTCTCTCTGATAGAGGCAGCAAGGTGGGAGGGGGGTGGGAAGCGACTTGTTGCATCATTACTCGAAGCGACAAGGAGTCCTGTGGCACCTTATAGGCTAGCAGATGTATTGGAGCATAAGCTTTCATGGGCAAAGACCTGCTTTGTCAGATGAATTAGTCGACTGTCCAATAAGCGTCTGCTTATCAGATTGTCGACTAGTCTCTTACACCCCTACAGAGTATGGATTGGGAGACAGCAAACCCTGAATTCTACCTCTGGCTCTCACATGGATGCCCTCTGTGGCTCTACACGGGCCACTTAACCTCTGAGCCTTGGCTTTCCGGGAATAGCAAGTCCTCTAACTCAGGGCTGGGAAGCTTACTGCATCCGCGTCTGTCGCGCAAGAGAAGTGCTACAGAGGGTGGTTACCTGGGAACTGATGGCGTATTTCAGGTAGGACAAGATCAGTGGGTTGGGCGATGGGCCAATCATGGCCTGGTCCAGAAGAGCTTCTGCAATCCCAACAAGAAAGGTTTGGGGTCAGCTAACACACGCCCAAGCGGGAAGGGGGCAAAGACAATACAGCGGACTGCAAAGATTGAGCAGAAAGTCTTTCAAACTAGACACACCCTACAACTCCCCATGGCCAGGAGCAGAGGGCAATATACAATGTAGGAAGCGGAAAGTATCCCGCCGTTAACTCAGCCCCAGTGCCTGAGAGCTGCTGTTCTCAATGCCCTCCAACGTCCTGGGGCCCTGATTAAACACACCCTACACTCCCCATGCCCAGGAGCAGAGGGCAATATACAATGTAGGAAGCGGAAAGTATCCCGCCGTTAACTCAGCCCCAGTGCCTAAGAGCTGCTGTTCTCAATGCCCTCCAACGTCCTGGGGCCCTGCGATCTGGGGGAGAACCTCCCCTCCCACGCACTCCTGGGATGCTGCCGCAGCGGGGTGGCTTTTTGATCCAGGGGAGACCCTCCCCTCCCACGCACCCCTGGGATGCTGCCGCAGCGGGGTGGCTTTTGCCATTGGTTCCTGAGCTCTCCCGGCCCGGCCAACCGCCCCTCTGCTGAGAACGCCCCTGCACTTTTGGCGGCTGCTGCTGCTTCTCCTGGTAATCTGCCAGCACCCGGGTTTGGCAGCTCACGGGTGCAGAGCGCGTCCTATCTGTTCAGTCAAGCTTTTAATTGACCATTTGAACTGCTGCAGCAGCGCACAGAGCCTGTCTCACAAAGACAGACCCACATTTTGCAGCCTCTCTTTTAATGAGTTGAGGCACCCGGATGCTGGAGGTAGAAGGTGCCATTTGGGAATCTACATAAATGCAACCCTCTCTTTCTTGGAGGGCAGCCGTTCAAACATAAGCACCAGTCTGAATCCCGAGACAACGGTCGTTCACAAGCAGCCAAAAATTCGGATTTGGTGCAAGATGCATCCTAGAACGTGCTCAGCAATTACAGACAGCAGGAAGCAGAAAGCAGCTTTCTGTTCACCAGAGAGAACTACGGCAACTGTTCCCCTTCTGCTCATCCTGTAACGAGGGAGCAGGACAGCCCCAACGGGACACGACGATCCAGCGTGTATGTATCACTGCACGAGTCACCCGGCATCGCTTCATAGGGATGCTGAATTGCGTTTAACTAATCGAGGGAATTTTCCATCAACTACTCAATTAGTCGATAAGGGGGGAAAGTGCAGAGACTCAGCGGGGTTGGTTCTCGGCCCTGGGAGCTAACCCCAATGCAGCTCTGCCTTTTAAATGTATTAAGAGCCTCCAGGATGGTTCATTCCCGGCTCACGCCCGGTCCCCCTGCTATGCCCTCTGCCTCCCCTACCCCCCATGGTGAAGTGCTGGGGGGAACTGGCTTTTAAGCCAGCTCCCCCAACACCAGCTCCCCTCCTGCCCCCACTGCTGCCTCTCTCTGACAGAGGTAAGCCTCTCCTGCTCGGTCCCCTCCCCCCAAAGCCGAAGCCCCGCCCTACACCCCACAGCTCTCGTCCTCAGCCCAGCCCTGGAGCCCACACTCCAGTCAAATTCTGTTGAGTCAACTGGGTCATGAGAAAAAAGTTTGAAACCCGCTGTAGTAGATTATGGCTCTGCCAGGACTGGGGTTGTTCTGGCAACCTGCTGCCAGATTTTTTTCCTTCGGGTCTTTGGATTTAAAAGCATCTGAACATTAAAAAGGACCATTCTAGAACTACTGCAAGGCAGGGTTAAAGGAAATCACCTCAGCCAGAAAAACAAGGATGATCAGAGCTATTCCAAATGACAAACCAGCCCTCCCCGGACTCCAAAACCTGGCCATTATTTATATTACAGTAGCAATTGAGACCAAAGGCTCATTCTACAGACACATTGTAAGAGACAGTCTTTACCCTGCATAGACAAGAGAGGTAATGGGTGAAGGGAAAAACAGACCCAGAGGGAGGGGAACACACTTGTCAAAGGCTGCACAGCAGTGACAGAACTGGGGCTGGAACCAGTCTCCAGAGTCAGCCTAGTGCCTTTCCACTGCCTCTTATCCTGCAGCTTTGGAATCCCGTCCGCTGCCTTCAGATCTGCCTCTTTCACAATGGCAGATCACTGAGTCACCTGTGCACCGTGTCTGCAGAGAACCTGAGAGACTCTGTTAGGATGGAGCTGAGCTAAAAGTTTCAAACCCAGGTGCCTAAAGTTAAGCTCCCACATGCAGAGATAGGCAATTAAATGGAAGTGCCCTGAATTTCAATATTCTGAACATCTGCAAGTTCTGTTGCTGCAATGGAGCTGAGATTAGAGGAAGGGGAAGTGGAAGGGCAGACCAGGCCATTTGGATTTTAGGTGCCTAAATCTGGGCATAGGAATTAGGGATGTAAAATCCAAAATAAGTGTCTGGTAAATTCTGTAAACCCTATACTAATGCACTAATTAAGAACTTTGGAAAAGAACAGAAATGGGATCTCGCAAGCAAAACAGAGAATTTTTCATTCCTCACCGAACAGAAAACAGACCCAGATGAATAGAACTGCATACAGAAAAGATAGGAGTTTAGGTTACGGCATAATCTAGAATAATTAGGACATCCAGTCCAGTTCTTCATGTTGGTTTGAATGGGGGCTATTTCCCTTGAAAATCTCTCCTTTACATCAACTCTACAACAAGTGATTTGCATTGGCTTACACAGGGCTTTCGAACACACACTTGCCACTCAGGAAAAACCAGCAACACCTTACCATAATTGGCAGAAAAGCCTGGCAATTTCTTCTACCTACATATACTCAAGCAGGTAACAACTTTTAGCAGGATTTGTGTCAATTTCCCTTCTAGAACTGGGGTGAGAAAAATGAATTCTAATGACATGTGGGTTGGAGGATGCTTTCACTTTATTAAGAAATAATATTACCCTAACATGTACAACAACAGAAATACTTAGTTCTTACACAGCACTTTTTAGCCACAGATCGTTAAGTTCTTTAAAGGGAAGCGCAGGATCATTTCCCCCATTGTACAGATAGAGAAACTGAGGCACAAAAAGATGCTCACGGTCTCCAAGCAAACCAGCAGCCCAGCTTGGAAGAGAATCCAGGTCTCTTTAGTCCCAATTTATTGCTCTAGCCGCCAAAGTATTCTGCATCTCTCGGTGTCAGTAATAGCCGAGCAAGTTGTTGCAGCCAACAATCATGCTATATACTCCACTCTTCCCAAGATTTACACGCTTGGCTTTAAGCACGAGTCGTCCCTGTGAAGGGCTCCACATGTACACAAGTCTTTGGACCTTCCATTTCTATTTGGGAGTTTTTCAGCCCAGACATAGAAATGCAGGTAAACATAATACAAGTGCTGCAGTTTGCTTATCTGGGTGATATGTGTGTCTCGCTTTGTACCACGCACATAACACAGACACGTGCACCCAAACAGTCAAACAAAACCAAATCCTGACCTGCCAAATTAAGTATGTCCCACGTGGCTCCTTTAGGGAAGAATTTCTTCATGTTTATGGCCCACTGGTAATCACTCCACCGTTCTCTCCAGGCCTGGAGAATGGCCTGTTTTAGATTGACAACCTTCATCTTTCTGTTCTGAAAGGCAGAGAGAAGATACAGCAGCTTGTTCATAACAGCATTTCTCACCCACTCCCCTCTCACCCAAACACTTCTCCTGGGGCACTGTCAATCAAGCACACCTTTTATTTCTATAACAAAGGATTCACTCTTAGCAGAAGGCAGTGCAACCTGGTTTATGCAAGAGGCTGGGAGCCAGGACTCGGCAGCTCGGAGACCATTATAAGTAGGGCCCTACCAAATCCACGGTCCATTTTGGTCAATTTCAGGGTCACAGGATTTTTTAAATAGCAGATTTCATTATTTCAGCTATTTGAATCTGAAATGTCAGTGTTGCGATTGCAGGGGTCCCCTGATGTGAAAAGGAGTTTTGGGGGTGAGAGGACACCAAATTATTGGGGGAGTTGTGGTACTGCTACCTTGTTCTGGACTGCTGCTGGCAGTGATGCTGCCTTCGAGGTGGGCAGCTGGGGAGCTGGATGAAAGCTGCCAAAAGCAGCAGCACAGAAGTAAGGGCAGCATGGTACCGTATTGCTACCATTTCTTCTGGCTGCTACCAGGGTGCTGCCATCAAAACTGGTCATCTGGACAACAGCCGCCACTCTCCAGCTACCCAGCTCCTCTGAAGGCAGTGCAGAAGTAAGGGTGGCAATGCCATGACACCCCTAAAATAACCTTATGACCCCCCCCCTTGCAACTTCTTTTTGGGTCAGGACCTTCAGTTTGAGAAATACTGATCTCCTTTGTGAAATCTGTACAGTAGAGGATAAACGCACACAAAATACCAGATTTCATGGTCAGAGACACATTTTCCATGGCCATGAATTTGGTAGGGGCCTAATTATAAGGAAGAGACAGTAGCCCACTGATCAGCTCATGGGAGTATTGGGCGCAG